TCATTGGACACACGGCCTTATACGAATTATTTTTTCAGCATCATTCAGTTTTCACATTCAGTGTATCATCAGCGGTCAGGCTTGCTTACAGACAAGGACCCTCTCTGTTAGATGTGGGTCCTAGTTAAACACAAAACTGTACTATACACGACGCAAAATAATAACTTGCGTCGTCACATTGCCCTATCAGCATACTTTCTATGCCGATTCGTTTGCCTGATAAACAAATTGCAGGCAATTCCCACAGCAGACTCAGACACTGATAAAGATTACCCTCACCGGGAAGATGTGTCACCGGATATTTGTCTTTCCGAATTTTTTTTTACCATATTTTCCATGATAAGAGTTTGGGTTTGAGGGTTGGGGGAATTCTAAGTTAAACCGGAATATGGAGTTATACCTGAATATGGGGTTAAACCGAAAATTGTAGTTGAACTGGCGACCTCTAGATTGCAAGTCCAGTGTTATGAACATTATACCACAGCAGCTCCATTAAAACGATAAACGAAGGGTATTGTTCACTGATAAACGTATCCTACCCCTAAGCTTCCCTTTAGAAGTTAGGTAGGTAATAGGTATCAGTACAGAAACGGATTATCGATTCAAATTGGGCAGCACTTCAAGTGGTCACGCCTTGTTATTTTCTGAGTGCTGCCATTTTCATCCACCACCAAACACCCATTCATGAAACTTGTCGCATGTTCAAATGGAAGACCCTCCTGACAAAGAACATTGAGACTGTAAAGTTATCCTGGGTAAATGCATTGGTATTATTGTGCTTGCTTACCACCCAGCAAAGTCTCAGTTTCAAGACAATTTTTCAGGGTTTTTTGCAGTAGAGGGGCTATGCTGCTGCTGTACCTAATCCCAATTGAGTAATTTCCAGGTGAATTATTCGCATTGGGATGCTTGGCCAATATCAGTTACATTCTATGGGTTTTTTGCGAAAATGAAGGGTAACATTATGAACATGGGACCATCAGTCCACAACTCCCTGGCCACTCCACTCCACCGCCAGTCACCAAGGTGACTCAGTGGCTGTGGCTTAAACCACAGGCGCTGAGCCACGCGGCGTTTCCAAACATAGCCGGTTACTAGCACGGCACAGGAATAACAGACACCCCACAGGGTCCACGGGCAGCTATTGCCTAGAATGCCAGGCAACACAGCAGGGTTTGTTGATCAGTCCCAGCTTTGTTTGTTTAAACCACAGTTGCTAAGCAGTTGTCGATTGGCCCAAAATATCAAGTGACCAGCAGCAAACAGCACTAATCAAAATTGTAATAGGTAAGAGTATGCAAGTTCCTTGCACTCACTGACCCAACCACCAACTCCCGCACTCACCGCACTGCAGGTCACAACGCTTCTCTTTCTGCTTCTTCCCGTGCACTGATCCACTTTGGAATTCCCTCCCATCGCCTCCTTCCCCAAGCTCGTATAATTACCTTGCGCAATTCAGGAAACGTGTTACACTCCGATCTATTATATTTAAATTGCTGACTCACAACAGAGTTTTTGGTTTGGCCACGTAATGTAGACTAAACCTTTGTCGTTGAGACCTCCACCACTTGATCATCAAAACAAACCTACATGTCATGTTGTTTGTATGTCAGTGCCAGTTAACGTGTTGAGCCTTTGGGCCTGTGATCAACCATTTTTTTTAAATACAGCGAACCAATGTGCATGTGTCCGTGTGTATGTAAAACCACGAGAAACGTAGAGGGCAGGCATCAGGAAATAACACATTTTGTTTTACTTACAGAGCTGCAATACAACATTCCTTTGTATAAAACTGTGACGTACAGTACTTACAGTAATATGTACATATACATTATTCGGTTCTATTCCGATGTACACAGCATAGTCGCAAATCAGCGAGCTATTTCACAAGCTGTACCCAAAATGTGAATATGAACATCACATTTTGGGCTTCCACACGAAGCTTTACAATCAGCCACGCCGCCCCACCTTGCCGTGAAAACGAACCATGAAAAGTTAACAAAATATGAAAAAGGGCCCCGTAATGGGGGTTAATGCATGGATAGAACTTGTCGTTGGCTAGTTGGTCACGATTGGGGTCAGGGTTAATGTCAGTGGAGGGCTAGTGCTGGTGGCTAACTGCTCACCGACAGATAAGGGTAGCGAGAGCATTTGGTTGCATTATTTGGTGAAACTGCATTGGCAGTGGAGCACAAGCAAATCACAAAAACCCAACACGTTTTTCAAATACACTCCCTTCTGCACAGCACATGTGCTGGAAAGGTGGGCCATTGCCCAACATTACGCCAATAACATGTTTTCCTTTGAAGTCCACGTTGTTATTGACTCCATTGTGTGTTGAGTTTTTGGTATTGGCATTTGGTTTGTCAGTACCCCCCCCCCCGTCCCATTGCAAGAGAGCCTTTTACACTTTTAGTCGCTTTTCATTTCGGGTCTTCACAGCAGTTTAAACATAAATATAACAATCTGCCAAAGCACACCCTTATATAGGTCCAAGTTAAATTAAATAAGAATACAATTCGCCTCTTTCCTTTATCCGTATCTCCACATTAAAAACAAGACATGTTATACATATCCCTTCGGCCATACAGCCTTTGAGGCGTGCACTATTTCAGCAGCATTGGTTCAAACGCAAGCAAGACGTTGGACTGATTTCGATACACAGCGTCTTATCAGCAGCCAGGTTTGCTCACACCAATGCTGCTGAACTGCCAGATGATTATAGACAAGGGCCCTTTCTGTTGCGTATTTTGCGACTTACATTCTCCACGATGCAATTTATTTTATTTTAAAAGCACAAGACGGTGCTTATCTCCATTGGCAGTCACAAACCAGTGGTGGAACTCCACATTTGAACAGGGTAACCACTGCCGATTCCTCAACGAGTGTTGTAACCGCACCTGGTGAGGTAGCAACGTGGGCTCAAGTCGATGCTCACCAGGATTGAAACCCGTATCTTCAAGATCACGAGCTCGCAGCTAGCCCAGCTTTAAAAAATAATTACAAAAGAAAACGAGCTTTACATAGTTTAACGCGTAGGCTTTCGCGACCAATATTCATAATACAGGTTTGTTGGGTTAGATCGCTTAAATATAAACATGTTGTTAAACCCGCCACCACCCGACACAGCCAATTAGTAAGGTTTGTCACGTAAACAGAACATGCCAATTCGTCACTAGTACAGCACACCGGTGTGTTGGAAAGCCAAGCCACAACATTTACAATCTGAGTACATTTCGCCAGTAATTACAACCAGCTTCATCAGGCGACAGACGGATTTAAGAAACGAAACAGGAGGAGTTCTCCATAAATCTGGCTGTCGCCTGATGAAGCTAGTTGTAATTACTGGCGAAACGTCGTACTCAGATTGTAAATGTTGTGGCTTTGCTCTCCAAAACACTGGTGTGCTGTACCAGTAACGAATTGGCATGTGGTGGTGGGTTTAATTTATATATTTACACGATCTAACCGAAAAAAAACCTGTATTATGAGCTGTAAATACTTCACAAGCCCATTAGGGGCAAGCAATGAATGTCAAGGCAAATATGTCAAATATATTTAAATGTACACACACTGGTTTCAAGCACATTGGGGCGCATTATCCAGCTCTGTGGGTGCATTATCCAGCTCTGTGGGTGCATTATCCAGCTCTGTGAAGCGATGTGTGGGGCGCGGCTGTTTGTGAATTCAGATTTGAAACCCACTACCGTCTGGAGGAGCGGAGCGGGTTTGAGAGAACAGGTTTGGGGGTTGGAAGGGGGGCATTCGTACAGCACAGGCGTGGCTGCATGCAGAGGTGCGCGAGAAAGAGCGGGTGAGGGTTAGGGTTTGGTAAGGGTCGCTTATGAACTACGCACGCATTCAGTGAAAGCGCTTTCCTCGTAAACAATTCAGCCAGGAGGCCGCTCGGGCCCCGATTTTATACCAGAGGAGACAACAAGTGGCCAAATATTGACCAGAGGTAAAAATGATAATAGTTAACAATAAAAACAATAATACTAAACGCAGTAGCGCAGCCAAGTTTAAATGGCCGAATTCACTGATGGGAGAAAGTGGAGGCGAGCCGCATCGCTGCAAATTTTATATTTTAAACGATTCTGTCCGACACTGCCCACGCAATGAAAGTGAAACCTGACGGTTTGAGGCCGTTACCATCCGCCGCTGAATTTTAATTAGCAGCTTCTGGCCTCTGCTCGTTAGCATTGTTTATCACCACCCCTCTGGCACAGAGACATGGGGCTGGACCTCACGATAAGTGGCAAAATGACAAATATCAAACGGGCTTGGCATTTGTTTTACCACCAGTGTAAAGTAAGAAAATGGCAATCAAATCCACCTACCAATGGGACACCACGGGCCAATGTTTTCAGCAATGTTTAAACTAAACAACAAGGCCAACCCTGAACCGGTTTTGACTTAAACTAACGCCGTCATGTCCAAAGTCACCATCGGCACAACAATAGCGACACTGTACAAATCTCAACTGGCATGACTGTTAGTTTGAGTACATTGCCAATGTGCAACACTTCGAGGTATCACTGCTAATTTTAAATCTTGACGTCCAAGTAAAACCCAGTTGCATTAATAATTTGTAATATTCAGCAACACGTTCAAATATACATGCTGCTTCTTGTTTGGTCAAGTTCACTCTCATAATCAATAACTAACAGAGTCCGGTGTGCCTGAGACAATGCCCACTGGCAAACGGTTCCTAAGCGCACACTGGCTGGAAAGTATCAAATATTTCCTGATCAAATGAGCATTGAGGTGGTGCTCATCTGTTCACAACTCTAAGCCATATTGCTATGATGGTACCACACTGCTGACTCACAACCATCTAACATGTGAATCAAACATTCTGACTACATTTGGCACCAGGCCGAATTTTGGATGTTACATCACACTGCACTAGAAATTGGATTTACTTAATATATTATCCTTCTTCTTGTTTCTTTCGGTAAAGTCACGTAGAAGGGAAGTAATAAAATAATAAAAATAAAACATAATAATACTTCCCTTCTACGTGACTTTACCGAAAGAAACAAGAAGATGAATCCCTGCAGTCACGAAAGCTTTAAATCGAAATTTATATTATCCTTGTTAAGCCAGAAAAGCCTCACTGAGTCGCAATACACTTTCAGGAGGGTTCCGCCAAGTTTTTGCACAAGGAGCAATGATGCTACTGCTTTGTGTAAACCCATTTCAGTAAATTGCAGGTAATTTTGCAACATTGAGATGTTTTGGCCAACACCAGTTACATTGTGTGTTTTTAGCTATATGAGGAAACCCATTCAGCAGAGGGATAAAACAAACTCCACGCAAAAATGCGCCCGAATTGGGAATCGAACCGCGACCCTTGCTGTTGTGTTACCATTGTGCCACTCTACTGTCAAAAGCATACATACCACAGTCTCTCAAGACAGTGAAGGAAGGAGGGAGGGGTACAAACAGCTGAATTAAATCTTCAAGCTGCTTGGGCTTCACGATTTAAACAAAACTTGATTGCACGGGGAAATAATGTGAAACGTGAGTGAAGAAGCTGAATCACCGTGAGTATCGTAAACCACCTGGATGCTCAGTGGGGGCCCGTGTGTCCAGTTTGAAGAGACAAAAAAGTCTGCCCCTCATTTTCCATTCTCAGGTTGTGCACCTCAGTAGATTTAATACCTGCTATGCTAGATGGTCCAGAAACAGTCTTGTGAAAAAAAATAATTAAATGTCCATTTCGACTTGGAGAGGCACATGCTTGGAATGACTGTGAGTGGCATGACGAGGCATACATGGCATATAGAACATATGCAGGTTAATGACATTTTCCAAATGATTAAGAAAGTGTGCTTGGACAGGGTGCGTGAAGGCTAGAAGGGATGGTGGATGATGGTAAAGAATTGCGACAAAGTGGCAGCCAAGGAATGGAATGTGTCCAATAGGGTCCACACACCCAGATGGACTGATTAAATAAATGCATGTGCAGGTGTTAGATGGATTGTTGCATCACAAGATTGTGAGAGGCTGCGTTAGCGGCGGCTTGAGGAGTACGTCATCCAGCGATGCAGTCTTTGGGTCTTTGTGTGGTGTAAGAAGCCACTGCAAGAACTGTTCAGCTACCCATGGGTCTCCATGTGAGTCTACAGGTGCCTGTGTGAGTCTCTGGTCTCTATGTGGATATATGGGTCTCTATTTGAGAAGTCAAGGCCGGCACATTCCAATGATATCAGTCACTCAATGAGTCCACCTACACACTTATTATCCAAGTCTATAAAACCCTGGGACGGAATTTGTAACCGACTCAACTGCCAACAACATTCTGAGCCTCCTGATGCCACCAGTTTCACTTTTAATTAAACCACACACAGCATTGCCTTGCTTTCACTTCCAGATATCCCTGAATCTGAAAGTACCAAGTTCTGTAAATAAAACACATGCTCCTCTGAGTGAACCTCACTGTGGGTGGAGGGGGGCGGCGACGGAGGAAAGTCTGGCGTGGATTCGCACCCATTCGTGGAATGGAGTGGGTCCTCTTGGCAAATTGTGACAGCACAATGCGGTACAGTAGTTGTTTTGCTTTTAACAGCGCACACACAAGTACTGTGTACAAAATATGCACGCCAATACACAAAAGACACCATTCTTTGCATTACCGAGGGTTTAGACAGATCCCATAGCACACACAAGCTCACAGGCTGTGGGAGCAAGTTCTGCCTTATTACAACATCTATGAAGGCTGCTACGCCACACACGAGGAAGTGATGTTGCCAGGACCGCTCCCAGTTGCTTTTGTCTCCCCAGTTCTGACGTTCACAACCCTGATCAAGTACAAAGACACACACACACACACGAACAACTCACACATAGTGCACATCATTTGAACTTTGCATGGTGCTATGTAAGTCAGAGAATGTAAAATGTTACCAACCAGGTTACACGACATGTGAGTTGATTGGGTTTACAGTGGGCACATTCAAATCGTCAAAGTGATGTTCTGCTCAAAAGAGCACAGTTCTGAGCTAGGAATATACTTTCCATACTCCTATGGTGTGGACGAGTCTCTATGTAATATGACCGCTGTTGATTCTCACAAAAATGTATACTTATTTTTCAACCCCGGAGGGATGATGGGTTGAGTCGACCCCTAAACTCAGAGTTGAACTGGGGACATTCAAATTGCGGGGCATTCGCTCGACTGGGCATATAAAGCCAACATATCGTACACTCAATTCGAATACCCGAACCCATCACTGTTTTTTTTTCTGAAGACATGAAAATGAGAGGCGAATGTAAACCCACACCCAACCATAGGCTGAGAACACCAAATCTCGCGTGTCCTTGGGTAGTTATGCAGACTCACTCCTTTGTTAAACCCAATCTTTTCACAGCATGGTCAAAAGTTTATATTCATATATTTGTATGAGTATATTTATAACCAGTTCTGTTTGTTCAAAACTGGTTTATTCCATCGGCCCAAACATATCTCACTGAACTGAAAACGTAGGTTTTCATAGCCAATACAATGATCCATATTAGTTGTTGGGTTAGGCCATATGATCGAACCCAAAAACAAATATGGATCAGATATTTTATTTGTTCGTGCTGTACCCCTTGAGATAGATATATAGATCGTTTATTGAGCTGTGGGAACGTACTTATGTTTTGTTGAGGGCCGTAATTACAAACGAATACAGCACTTGGATGTGATAACGCTGAAAAAGTTATCATATAATTTCATTAAAATTTGCTACAAACGACCAGGTTGGCTCAACGGTAGAGATAGTGACTCACAATCGGAAGGTTGCAAGTTAAGATTCTGACTGGGGGGTACTCTGCCTATCATCCCTCTGGGGCCGAAAAAATAAAGACCACTATGTAGCGAAGATCAACAGTGGTTGTCCTATGGACAAACTCTTCCCCACCATGGGAATGTGACATTTTCACCTCCGCCAGCTCAGGGCTGTAAGAAGGTGAGCATTGCCTCCAATACTTATACGAGCAGAAAATCACTTTGTAATTGTCCAGGTAGATTAATTGGTAGGACTGCCCATCCAGAAGTTTTGCTATCACTGACAGTTCCATGTTCTATCTTGTCCCACGGACCAACTGAGCTTTAACAAAGCGATGCGTTTCCATGGTCACCAGTACCAGCGTCAAGCAATAATTATGAACATATTCATTGCTGGAGTAATGACACACGCAGACTTATGGTTGCAACACAGGACACATGCAACGTATGTGTGTGCATCAGAATTCACGGAGGCAACATGGGATACCGCAAACCACGGTAGTGATACGTGTGGAGGAGGGCTGTTAACCGCGAGCGGTGAAACAGTAACTGGATTCCCGGTTCCAAAAGTCAGGAAGGTGTAATTATTTCGAGTGGAATTTTCGTAACAAATACACTAATTGGCACAGGCGTTTGTCAGTTGACAAGGGTACATGCAGCCCTGCAATTCCTTGCTCATTCCACTGATAGCAGAAGGCCTCCACGAGAGGGAGCTCTGGTGGTATTTGGTCTTTTGTTTCACGCTGACCAGACGTGAGCGTGCCCACGCGTTTCCCCACCGTACGCGACCTGGTGATCAACTACGATATATCATTAATTCACACTGCTGGGTGCACAGAGGCGATGGGGTGAGGGATTTGAGAAACTTGCTATCATTGTTCCAACTGCCTCATCGGGAGATGGAATAAAAGTGGCGACCTTTGGATTGCAAGTCCAGTGTGCTAACCATTGGACACGGCAGTTCCCTTCATTACACAGTTAAAAAGGTGAACGTGCTATGTTTACTGCTCTCGACATTTCTATAAGTGCAGCACACCTGTAACTGGGTTTAATGTCTTCCATGCAGTTACCGGTTAAGCAAAAACAATGGTCTCAACAACCCGAGTACGAACAGAGGCACGTTCCACACACAGGTCCCCTTCCTCCTGCATTGCTCCACCGTGCCAGCACGGGTCGTGTTACAGAGGCAGCGGCAACTTGAACCAGGGCCTGAGTTCAGGAAACGCTTAGAAAGTCCGACAGGCAGTAATTGTAGGGAGATCCGAAATTCCATAAGACCAAACTAAAAACACCCCATGCTAAATTGGGGTGTCCGAATAAGATAGCAAAACTGGGCGTACGGCAGCGATTGCTAGGAATGATGTCATCACCTCCCACTGCAGCGGCCAATCGGCTGCCAGGAAGACAAAGCCCATGCAGCACGAGGCCAACCCTCGTACATGGCCGGCTCGTGGTAGAAGTACATTTACGTTTTTAATGTTTATGTTATATTATTTTGTTAGAATTAATGTTGACTTGTTAGTTTCATTAATGATCGGTATACCTTGATTTACTTTGCCAATCGAGGCAAGAATGGTCCCGCCCATAACTACGTTCTCTCCAGACTTTACGACGTTAATTTGTTTCAATTTCCCTTGTGGAATTAATAGGCACGGCAAAAGTCTTCTCGAATTGTCCGAGTTCTGTAGTCAGGCCCGAGCAGAGGCAAGAGAACCTCGTTGCGCTCGATCACTTCCCGGCGGCTCTGCCTCTGTGATGTTTTAGTCACCGCCCGACAACCACCCACACGGGAGTCTCAAACAATAAAAACGCTTTTGACAGGTTCACACCCTAAATTACAAATATAGAGAACATTTCTTCCTTACAAATACATTACGAATATATTACAATAGTGTAAAAGTAGTTATCTTTTTTTACGCATGTAACGCACCATCCCCTCTTATCCTCTGTAATGTTTTATACACATATAAAGTCATAACTTAAATCCGTGCGACTCGCACGCCGGATCACTTCATCACTGGGGCCTTGAGCCCGCATCCCGCATCATCCCCCCCACACCACCAATAGAGGGAGCGGAGACCAGGGGAGGGGGGGCCTTAGGGCCTACGCGAGGTGCCTCTCAGTTGGGCAATTTGTTGATTTTCATGCATTGAAGCGATGGTGCAGAGGGCGGGGGGCAGGATTTGGCAAGTTTTGTTGTACGCATCAAGAAAGTGCAAGTGTCATCTTAAAAAGAAACGTACGCCCTTTTATCGTCGCTCTAGAGGTCGAACGTGTACATCCCGACAAGCAATGAGAAAGGGCCACACTGCTCACCTATCCATCCATCTCCCCCACCGCAGGATGGATTGGGCCACTGGTAAACTGCAGAAACCAGTCCTTCCTGAAGTGAGGCCACTCCACCACTCTGTTCCATCTCAGTAATTTTCTGGCCGACTGAAGTTGCCTTTTAAGTTGGGCTGATTTACAAGTAGCCCGATCTTCCTTTTCTCATCCATCCCTTCCCCTCCAGCCCCTGCGTTCTCCTCCATCTCCCTTTTCCTCCATCCAATCCCTGATCCACCCCTACCATTTCCAACCTTTCCCTGCTCCTCCATCTCTTCCCCTTTTCATCCATTGCCATCTTCATTCATTGCCTTCATCTCTTTCATCCTCCATCCCCTCTCTTCGCATCTTTTTCGCCCCTTCCCTTTTTCGCCTTCCTCCCTTTCTCCTCCATCCCCTTCCCTTCCCCATGGATCCCCTGCTTCTGCATCCGCTACCTTCTCCATAGCATGATTGGCTATGTACGGTGCGAAAGAAGTTCAACATAATCCCTTCCCTGCTCCATCCCTTCCCTTCGTCGCCTCACTAAGAACGGAGCCCAAAGCGAGGGATGCAGCTGCATTGAGGCCTTCCCCGAGCGCACGCAGACACGAGCGAAGCGAGCTATTAGCTTGTCATGTCCACACGGCCGCTCGCTGTCTCGTGTAAACATCATCACCAGTGGAACTGCTCAAGAGAAACAAGCGTGTCGAAAAAATATACCCGTCTCCCTTGCCTCTTCCCTCCCACCCACTCGCCGTCCCGCCCACTCGCCGTCCCACCCACCCCTGCAAACTAAATTCTAATTTCGCATCATGGACTTAAATTATACAACGCACCTCCGATGAGCGCGGTTGGCTACGTACGGTGCGAAAGAAGTTCTACGTGCAGTACAAAGGGGTTGGTTGTGGGACACACGAAAAGGGGACTCGATCGGGGGGTGGGGGGCGGTCATGATGGGGAGGAGAGAAAACCAAACGAGAACCCTCCTGCAATGTAGAGAGCGGCTCAGTGCAAAAATACAAAATATGCACGGACGTATGCACCGGAAGCGACGAAAACCCTCCATGACTGCGCGGAACTAGCCGCAAGTTACAAACAATCCCATTGATCCTGCCTCACCCGTTAGAACATCACTTATGCGCAGCCGGCAATGATAGTATCTCACCGCAACAGCCCAATAGAGCGCAACGGGCAAAAGTGCATTGTGGGGGCCCAGGGCCTCGTTCCCATCTTCGAGCAGCCAAGGGGAGGAACTACCCCCACCGGGAATATCTCCCACGCACTCGATCTGGAGTTGGCGTTACCACACAACTCAGAGTGACTCGAACGCTAACTTCTGCTAATCTATGATGAGCAGAGAAAATGAGGCATCTCAATACCGATTTCCCAGTGGCACATTCCCGCCCCGTTTAACGACGCCTCTTGGTTAGACGAGAAAAAAAATCGCCACTGCACCCTAGCGAAATATTCTCAAGATCCACAGAACCGTGAACTGAAATTCTGCAAGGCCATTTTTCAATGAAAAGGGCACACATTAAACTTCTTTTTCACCGCTCGTGGTCTTTGGAAGTGTGGTCCTCTGCATGACAGAATCAGTTAAAACACACGCACAATCATCCCTTCATCGAAGGTATGTCACGATGTTATGCACAGCGTTTAAAAAAACTAATTTCAAGAAAATTACATTCTGGTTTGATCAACAAGAACGAATAAGTATGAAAAACAACAACAATCATCGCTCTGGCCGACGGCAGATGGAAATGATGCAGGTTTTTACGCGAGTGGCTTACGTGCCACGAAACCGCGTGCGTTATTCTGGCGTGAGACTCGGCTCAGCAGTGGGGTGAGCTGGTTGACCAGGCCGGGCTAGGCCAGGCCGGACGCAGTGCCGCCCTGGGCCTTCGTAGCTGTTCCCAAGCGGTTCAACGCGCATGGTCGTAAGCGAGGCACTGGATCGAGCGACCCGAACATCTGGGCCGTGATTGCCCGGGCCGCGCCCACCTGCGCCTGCCTGCGCCCGGCGCAGCCGAAACCAGCCCGGCGGCGCGTGGCGCTCGCACCCCGGCAGCCGCTGCTATAACTTGGTGATGCAAATCATCTCGTCTTCCAGCTCTCGCTCGTACAGGCGTCTCCGCTCGCCGCCCGGCCGCAGATTGTCGTCGCCCTCTTCGTCGCCGCCCTCTTCATCGCCGCCCTCTTCGTCGCCACCCTCTTCGTCGCCGCCCTCTTCGTCGCCGCCGTAACCCCCTCGGTGGAAGTGGCCGGGGAAGAGCGGCTCACGACTCGAGGAGGTGTCGTCGTGGCCCTCATCGGCGCCGTTAAGGAGGTCGCTGGCAGGCGCTCTCCATCTCGTCCACCGTCATGTCGCATGCGTCCGCCAGCTCGCGCTTCATCACCGACACGAAGCGCCGGTCACGAGCGAACAGGCCCAGCCCCTCCGAAATCAGCACCTGCGGACGAACGGTGGCACAGCGGCCCGCGGGGGGTCAACGGATGAGCGACTGGGAAGACGAGTATAGTAATAGTTCAAATTGCGGATATTCAATATACGAAGTTTCAGAACAAACTTTTAATTTATTACCCTTAATTTAATGGAAAAACTAAATAAGATAATAAACACTCCAGTCCTATATAAATAACAATAAAATGTAGTTTCTTAACTATGTTTCTTAAATTCATGTCAGTTTTATATTTTAATACTGTAACATGTTTAGCCAGTGTCCTCTCCCACACCTCCGATTAGCACAGTCGTCTGCGTACAGTGTGAAAGAGGTTCAACATACAAACTGTTTAGCGATGAGAGGAAACCCACGCAGAACATACAAGATGGACACAGTGGTCTAGTCTTATATTGTGAGGAAATCCATTGGGCTCTCTCCCCTGTCTCTCCCTTCTTTCTCATCTCTCTCCCACCCTCTCTCCCTTCGTCCCCACCGCTTTATCCCCCTTAATCCCCTTTCTCTCCCACCCCATCTCTCCCCCCTCCGCCCCTTTCTCCCCCTCTATCCCCTCTCTCACCGCCCCTCTCTCCCCTCTCCCTTTTCACGCACTGCCTGTACGAGGCTGTCGGCGCTCCCGCGGTGGTGCCGACGTGGGGAGGGCAGCGGCATGAGGGAGAGCGACGCGGCACTGGGGGTCTCGGACCCCCACGAGTGGCGGGCCCCATGACCCCGGGCCCCCAACGCCCGGGTTATACTCCCCTCTCTGTCAGCCGGGGAGGAGGAACACTCCACCTGAATGGGACAACCAAACACACAAATACAACACACACGTGAACAGGCACACAACACGCACGTGAACAGACACGCAAAGATCCCCCGTATAGCCTTAACAGACTGTAGGGGCAAGTTCTGTTAGCGAGCACCTATGAAGGCCGGAACGGTACACGAAGGGGTGGGTGGCCAGCACCACGCCCGGTCGCCTTTGTCTCCCCAATGGCGATGTTTACACACGGCACCAGGTACTCATTTGAGGCTGAGTCGACCTAGGGGAAGCCCAGGACCGGTTCAAATAATCGTCACCGGTGTTGGCCGTGAGCGGGAATCGAACCCGAGTCGCCGGGTTCGTAGCGCAGCGCGCTAGCCACTACACTACCGCAACACGCACGTGAACAGACGCAGCACGCACGTGAACAGATGCAACACACAAAGACACACGACACGTGAATAGACATACAACACACAAGTTAGCAGACAACACGTGAACAGACATGCACGTAAACATACAACATGCACGTGAACAGACAACGCACACATGAACAGATGCACGTAAACAGACACACAACACACACGTGAACAGACGCACAACACGCACGTGAACAGACACAACACGCACTATGAACAAACGCACAACACGCACGTGAACAGATGTACGTAAGCAGACATACACGTGAATAGACACACAACACGTAGGAGAATGAATACGCGCACACGCATGAGAACATGTACAACATGCACGTTACCACATGCACACAACAAAAACAAATCGCGTAGGTTTTCGCATAATAGATTTTCTGGTTAGGGCACGTAATGATCTGGCCAAATATGTGCTGTAAAACCCTCCACCGCCCAACACAGCCTAACAAACTTAATTGTCACGTGCGCGAGCGATTAGAATCGCGCTGACTAAACGGAGTGCTGCAGAACAGGAGGTCGTCCTCTTCGATCTCCGGGATTGGCGGAGCCCCGAGCGCGTGGCACGGCCACTCACCTGGATGGCGGGCGCGTGGCACGGGCACTCACCTGGATGGCGGGTGTGTGGCACGGCCACTCACCTGGATGGCCACTCACCTGGATGGCGGGCGTGTGGCACGGCCACTCACCTGGATGGCGGGCGTGTAGAGGTGGGGGCAGCCGCGGCGTCCGCGCGCGGGCGACGACGGCGGCGTGCTCCACGCGTGCGTCGAGCACGAGATCGCGCGTGCCTCGCCGTGGCCCCCAGCCGCCTCGCTCCCGTCTCCCGTTGCCGCCTCCGGTCGGGGGGTGGGGGAGCATGGGGCAGGGGGCACGAGGGGGGGGCGAGCGGGAGCATGGATGGGGGACATTGGGGGGCGTGGAGGGGGGCATGGGGGGGGGGCACGCAGGGGACACCTCCCATTAGCACGGTTGGTTACGGATGGTGCGAAACAAGTTCAACATACATATGTTTCGATCGTACAATCCTGTTTTCTCCAAAATCACACAACGCAAATACAGGAAGTCCTCGACTTACGAACGGGCTCCATTCCTGAGACGCTTTTGTGAGTGGATTTGTTCATAACTCGTAAATATGAAATTGTATATTTGTATATAATACTGTAATAAATACTGTATAGTGAATAAAACGTAAAATGACGTAACTTAAAATACATTTAACGGTTCACTGTTGTGCATCATGCGGGATGCGGAGGATTGCTGCGCCGAACAAAATAGTTCCACGGTTAATTTCGTAAGTACAACCAAATGTTCACAAGTTAGATGGTTGAACATAACATCTTATGGTGGTTCCTTCGTAAGTGTGGATGTACGTAAGTCGGACGTTGTATCGGGGACTGCCTGACTCAAGAAGATATGGCCAACTATTCGAGGCTGTTCATTCTTGCAAATGATCCTTATGGTGGTACCCCGGGGTACCAAATAATACAAAATGGTCGAAGCAATTAAATAGTTTATTTCTGGGAAAAAATTTTTGTCCAGGGGTGTACTTCACTCCGCGACTGGGGTACCAATCAATCCGAAATCAGTGCCACTCCGCGATGTCGAAACGCCAAACAGCATAAAAAATCCGTTATCGAAAAATTCAACTTTGAATAGTGCAGCGTGTCCAGCTCGTCGAGATGAGTCGATTTCCGCATCGCCGACCATCAACGGACTAAAAATGACTGTATCACGGACATTGTGAGAGCCGAGGTACTATGGTACCCCGGGGTACCGCCATACGGATTCAAATGGTCACTATTCCCTGTGTGTTCTCACCTAGTTAAGTAAAATAAACTTCAAACTTGAATATACATGTGTAATGACAGGGTGCCACCTGTCGACCTGGAGGGATATTCGTGGGTACGGGCAAGTTATATAATGACTAACTAGGTGGGTTATATAATAACTAACTAGGAGGGTTATATAATGACTAGCTAGAAGGGTTATATAATGACTAACTAGAAGGGTTATATAATGACTAACTAGAAGGGTTATATAATGACTAACTAGAGGGTTATAAAATGACTAGCTAGAAGGGTTATATAATGACTAGCTAGAACGGTTATATAATGACTAACTAGAAGGGTTATATAATGACTAACTAGGAGGGTTATATAATGACTAACTAGAAGGGTTAAATAATAACTAGCTAGAAGGGTTATATAATGACTAGCGAGAAGGGTTATATAATGACTAACTAGAAGGGTTATATAATGACTAGCTAGAAGGGTTATATATTGACTAACTAGAAGGGTTATATAATGACTAACTAGAAGGGTTATGTAATGACTAGCTAGAAGGGTTATGTAATGACTAGCTAGAAGGGTTATATAATGACTAACGAGAAGGGTTATATAATGACTAACTAGAAGGGTTATATAATGACTAACTAGAAGGGGTATATAATGACTAACTAGAAGGGTTATATAATGACTAACTAGAAGGGTTATATAATGACTAGCTAGAAGGGTTAACATAATGACTAGCTAGAAGGGTTATATAATAACTAACTAGGAGGGTTATATAATGACTAGCTAGAAGGGCTATATAATGACTAGCTAGATGGGTTATATAATGACTAACTAGAAGGGTTATATAATGACTAACTAGAAGGGTTATATAATGACTAACTAGAAGGGTTATATGATGACTAACTAGAAGGGTTATATAATGACTAACTAGAAGGGTTATGTAATGACTAGCTAGAAGGGTTATGTAATGACTAGCTAGAAGGGTTATATAATGACTAACGAGAAGGGTTATATAATGACTAACTAGAAGGGTTATATAATGACTAACTAGAAGGGGTATATAATGACTAACTAGAAGGGTTATATAATGACTAACTAGAAGGGTTATATAATGACTAGCTAGAAGGGTTAACATAATGACTAGCTAGAAGGGTTATATAATAACTAACTAGGAGGGTTATATAATGACTAGCTAGAAGGGCTATATAATGACTAGCTAGATGGGTTATATAATGACTAACTAGAAGGGTTATATAATGACTAACTAGAATGGTTATATAATGACTAACTAGAAGGGTTATATGATGACTAACTAGAAGGGTTATATAATGACTAACTAGAGGGTTATAAAATGACTAGCTAGAAGGGTTATATAATGACTAGCTAGAACGGTTATATAATGACTAACTAGAAGGGTTATATAATGACTAACTAGGAGGGTTATATAATGACTAACTAGGAGGGTTATATAATGACTAACTAGAAGGGTTAAATAATAACTAGCTAGAAGGGTTATATAATGACTAGCGAGAAGGGTTATATGACTAACTAGAAGGGTTATATAATGACTAGCTAGAAGGGTTATATATTGACTAACTAGAAGGGTTATATAATGACTAACTAGAAGGGTTATGTAATGACTAGTTAGAAGGGTTATGTAATGACTAGCTAGAAGGGTTATATAATGACTAACGAGAAGGGTTATATAATGACTAACTAGAAGGGTTATATAATGACTAACTAGAAGGGGTATATAATGACTAACTAGAAGGGTTATATAATGACTAATTAGAAGGGTTATATAATGACTAGCTAGAAGGGTTAACATAATGACTAGCTAGAAGGGTTATATAATAACTAACTAGGAGGGTTATATAATGACTAACTAGAAGGGTTATATAATGACTAACTAGAAGGGTTATATAATGACTAACTAGGAGGGTTATATAATGACTAACTAGAAGGGTTAAATAATAACTAGCTAGAAGGGTTATATAATGACTAGCGAGAAGGGTTATATAATGACTAACTAGAAGGGTTATATAATGACTAGCTAGAAGGGTTATATATTGACTAACTAGAAGGGTTATATAATGACTAACTAGAAGGGTTATGTAATGACTAGCTAGAAGGGTTATGTAATGACTAGCTAGAAGGGTTATATAATGACTAACGAGAAGGGTTATATAATGACTAACTAGAAGGGTTATATAATGACTAACTAGAAGGGGTATATAATGACTAACTAGAAGGGTTATATAATGACTAACTAGAAGGGTTATATAATGACTAGCTAGAAGGGTTAACATAATGACTAGCTAGAAGGGTTATATAATAACTAACTAGGAGGGTTATATAATGACTAGCTAGAAGGGCTATATAATGACTAGCTAGATGGGTTATATAATGACTAACTAGAAGGGTTATATAATGACTAACTAGGAGGGTTATATAATGACTAGCTAGAAGGGCTATATAATGACTAGCTAGATGGGTTATATAATGACTAACTAGAAGGGTTATATAATGACTAACTAGAAGGGTTATATAATGACTAACTAGAAGGGTTATATGATGACTAACTAGAAGGGTTATATAATGACTAACTAGAGGGTTATAAAATGACTAGCTAGAAGGGTTATATAATGACTAGCTAGAACGGTTATATAATGACTAACTAGAAGGGTTATATAATGACTAACTAGAAGGGTTATATAATGACTAACTAGAAGGGTTAAATAATAACTAGCTAGAAGGGTTATATAATGACTAGCGAGAAGGGTTATATAATGAACAACTAGAAGGGTTATATAATGACTAGCTAGAAGGGTTATATATTGACTAACTAGAAGGGTTATATAATGACTAACTAGCAGGGTTATGTAATGACTAGCTAGAAGGGTTATGTAATGACTAGCTAGAAGGGTTATATAATGACTAACGAGAAGGGTTATATAATGACTAACTAGAAGGGTTATATAATGACTAACTAGAAGGGGTATATAATGAATAACTAGAAGGGTTATATAATGACTAACTAGAAGGGTTATATAATGACTAGCTAGAAGGGTTAACATAATGACTAGCTAGAAGGGTTATATAATAACTAACTAGGAGGGTTATATAATGACTAGCTAGAAGGGCTATATAATGACTAGCTAGATGGGTTATATAATGACTAACTAGAAGGGTTATATAATGACTAACTAGAAGGGTTATATAATGACTAGCTAGAAGGGTTATATAATGACTAGCTAGAAGGGCTATATAATGACTAGCTAGATGGGTTATATAATGACTAACTAGAAGGGTTATATAATGACTAACTAGAAGGGTTATATAATGACTAACTATAAAGGTTATATAATGACTAACTAGAAGGGTTATATAATGACTAGCTAGAAGGGTTATATAATGACTAACTAGAAGGGTTATATAATGACTAACTAGAAGGGTTATATAATGACTAGCTAGAAGGGTTATATAATGACTAACTAGAAGGGTTATATAATGACTAGCTAGAAGGGTTATATAATGACTAACTAGGAGGGTTATATAATGACTAGCTAGTAGGGTTATATGACTAGCTAGATGGGTTATATAATGACTAACTAGAAGGGTTATATAATGACTAGCGAGAAGGGTTATATAATGACTAGCTAGAAGGGTTATATAATGACTAGCTAAAAGGGTTATATAATGACTAACTAGAAGGGTTATATAATGACTAGCTAGAAAGGTTATATAATGACTATCTAGAAGGGTTATATAATGACTAGCTAGAAGGGTTATATAATGACTAGCTAGAAGGGTTATATAATGACTAACTAGAAGGGTTATATAATGACTAGCTAGAAGGGTTATATAATGACTAATTATGAGGGTTATATAATGACTAACTAGAAGGGTTATATAATGACTAACTAGAAGGGTTATATAATGACTAACTAGGAGGGTTATATAATGACTAACTAGAAGGGTTAAATAATAACTAGCTAGAAGGGTTATATAATGACTAGCGAGAAGGGTTATATAATGAC